GACCGGAGAAAACCAGGGACTGATGTGTGGCTTTACTGTGGTAGTGGGTACTGGCGTACGCTTCCCTCATTTCAACCGTCCTTTTTTACTCCCTTGACGGCACCATTGTGAGACAACCCCAAAATACCCTGGCATCCGGTGCGGTCGATACTGACTTCACTAGGTCGCCGATATCCAGCCGTCCATTGTTGCGACTCTGGGGGAGAGTGATAAGTTGCCCTGGATCGGCGTGGCCATCGCGCTGGGCACGATCGCCATCCTCCCGTTGGGCAAAGCCTACGGGATCTTCAATGCCAAATGGCTGTTCTTGTCGTGTGTCACGGGCTTCGAAGTGGGCAGCGCGCTCTGTGGGGCCGCGCCGAATATGAACGCCTTGATCGTGGGACGAGTTATCCAGGGCGTGGCGGGATGCGGCTGCTATAGCGGTGCCTTGACCTACATCTCCATGACCACCTCCAAGAACGAGCGACCCCTGTACCTGTCCGGGGTCGTCGCCATGTGGGGTCTGGGGAGCGTTTTGGGTCCCATCATCGGCGGCGCGTTTGCGCAGAGCAGCGCGACCTGGCGCTGGGCGTTCTACATCAACCTCGTCGTGGCGGCCCTCGTCGCCCCAGCCCTGATTCTCTGCCTCCCCAACATCAACCCCGTGGACATGCCGTTTCTGCAGAAGCTCCGGACCCAGGACTGGGTGGCCATCGTCGTCTTTCTGGGGGGCGCCGCGTCGCTGACCATGGCCATCACCTTTGGCGGGGTCACCTTCGCCTTCCAGGACGGCTCCGAGATCGCGCTGTGGACGGTGACGGGCGTGCTGCTCGTCGTCTTCATCCTGGTTACCTGGCTCCATCCGCTGGTCCCCGCCGAGAACCGGCTGTATCCAATCCACTTGATGAAGCGCATGGAGATCAACATCCTGCAGTATGCGATCTTCGTGGCCTCGGGTGCCATGATGATCACCTTGTATTATACCCCGTTGATCTTCCAATTCACCCGCTCCGACGGCCCCTTGTTGGCCGGGGTGCGCCTCCTGCCCTTTGTCTGTCTCATCGTCTTCTTCGGCATTGTCAACGGCGCGCTCATGCCGAAGTTCGGCTATTACATGCCGTGGTATGTCTTTGGAAATGCCATGATCCTTATCGGGTCATCGCTCATGCGTGAGTTCACGATTGCCTCCCACAGTCCCGTTCCCGTTCCTGTAGCTAAGCTTCCTTGCATAGTGACCATCGATGCAAATACTTCAACATCCCGGATCTACGGCTACACCGCGGTGATTGGCGCCGGCGTGGGCTCATATGTGACGGCCGGATTCGCCGTGGTGCAAGCGCTGATTCCACTCGCGGACATGAACAACGCCGTCGGCTTCATGGCAATAGGTGCGTTGCAGTAGCCACACCCAGTGGACCAAAGGACGCCACTAATCAGAGAAACACCGACATGCGCAGGTCAAATGATGGGTCAAATCGCTCTCCTCAGTGTCGCCGCATCTTTGTATCAGAACATCGGTGCCAACAAGCTGCACGATCTTCTCCCGACGTATTCGCGCGCCGAAGTGCAGGACCTCACTACCGGCCGACAGAGCGCGCTGTTCCAAACCCTGAGCCCGGCGCTGCAGACCCAAGTCATCGCCGAGGTCACCCTCGCCATCCGCAACGTGTTCGCTATTCTCGTGGCTGCCTCTGCCTTGGGGTTTATTGGTTCCCTGTTTTTGAAGGTGAGTGTCTGCCTTACAATCCCTTTTTCTGTTTTTTTCCACGTTCTGACTCTCGGTTGGGGTGGGAAACAGCGCCACAAATTGTATTAGTTGCGGCTTTTTTGGGAGGCGGCATTGGTTATGATTTTTGGAAGATAGAGAGAGTTCACATCAAATTGCCTAACTAGACCTTAGCGTGATCTCCATTAGAAGAATATCAGAATATCATCCATAAAATCACGTACTGAAATCCTTCACACATACTGAAATCCTGCACACACGAGCTAAAGTAGCGTCGGAACCCAGCGGCTGAGTGCAGCTTCCACCACGTGGCGGCCATGATCCAGGGGTGGAATAGGTGCGTTCGTCAGGGACCCGCTGATCGAATACGAAGACCGCCGCCGCATTCATACGATCAGTCTGAACAATTGGAAGTGCCTGGATCCCAGAGGATTTGCGGGTGTTGCTCGGAGGATTGCCTCGTTTTGCTTTGGTAAAAGCCGCGCATTTGCTCCGTATCACTCCATATCAGACGAGGTAGCCTTACGCTAGACTAAACATAAACCCACGTCAGACGGTCTGCCGTAGGAAAGGGCGCGATCTCAACCGGTCCGCACAGTGCCATGTCTACGGATGATTTCTTTTCATTTCTGCTGACGCACTCATTCCTTCTTCCTTCAGACGGGCTGACGTCCGAGAATTTCAGCCCCCACGTATCTATCTCACTCCAAATTGTGGTTTCCTGTCGAACGTGGCGAGTGCTCCAGGATAGTTCCGTATCCGAGCGTCCGTAGAGGATTGCTGACGCCTAGTAGTGAAAGGCTGTGCGCGCGTGTTCTTCATGCGAACCTTCTCTTTTGAGTCAGAGAAGCCGAGGAGAAGGATGCGCCATGAAATTGCAAACCGCATCTATCGTCTGCCTCAGACGAGCGTAGACTGAGTAAGGGCATATAGGAAATCCTCCTGGTCGGGGGGGTATAAAATCGAGCGTTCGCCTCACCCCTGCAGTCATTCCAAGCTCTTCAAGAAACCCTCCTCATCTCCCCCAAGAGCACTCTCCTACACTTCTTCTCTTCTTGTATATCCTCCAAAACATGAGACTATCTCTGAGTCACATAGCCTGGGGCCTGACAGCTTTGTCGGTGGCGGTGGTGAGCGAGCCGGTCCCGGTCCCTCACTACTTCCAACGCGAAGCCCTCACGCGGCGAGACTTGTCGGTGTCGCAGGTCTCGCGGGAACTGGGCGCCCTCGTCTCCAACACCACCGCAATCTTCGGGCCCTCGGATCCCCGGTGGGAGAATGCGACGGAGCGGTATACCACGTTTGCGCCGCCGACGATCGAGCTCGTGGTGCAGCCGGGGTTGGAGTCGGACATCCCCATCATCGTGAGTGTGTTGCGCCCGAATCAATCGAGAATTGCCTAGTAACGAGCGGATGCAGATCAAGTACTGCAACCGGAACAGCATCGAATTTATGGCGGTCAATCGCGGCCACTCGCTGACCATCACTACGGGTCGCTTCAAGGGCATCGAGATTGACATGGCTTCCCTGCGGGACTATACCATTGAGCCAGACTTCCAATCCGCGTGGTTTCAGGGGGGCAGCTATGGTGGATCGGTGATCTCCAGCCTCTGGGATCAAGGCTATGTGGCGAGTAAGTGTCATGCCCTTTTGTATCGTCGACTCTTCCAGCGGGCTAACCAGCTGCTTCGGTTTTAGCCACGGGCAGCTGTACCTGCGTCGGATTGCTGGGACCCGGTCTCGGTGGCGGCCACGGGCGCTTTGAAGGGCAGTACGGACTGGTCAGCGACAACTTGGTGAACCTGAACGTCGTGCTGGCCGATGGGTCAGCGATCCGGGTCAACGCCACGAGCCACAGTGATCTGTGGTGGGCGCTACAGGGTGCCGGCCACAATTTCGCCCTGGTCACGAGCTTCCAGATGAAGATCCACCCGCGCAAGGTGGACACCTGGCACTACCACAACTACGTCTGGTCGGGCGACAAGCTGGAGACGGTGTTCGAGCAGCTGAACATCTTCCACACGAGCGCGAACGGGACGACGCCGGTGCTGATGGCGGTAAATTTCGGGGAGTTTGGGATTGAGTCCAATTACAGCAGCACGGAGGCGGTGCTGGAATGGAGCTTCGTGTACGCGGGGCCTGCGGCCGACGCAGAGGCCCTACTAGCCCCGTTCAACGCGATCGAGGCCCTCTCCGAGGAAACAGGCGACGTGCCCTACCCCGACATCGCGGACATCCAGGGCACGGGGCTGAACAGCGCCGCCTGCGTCCCCGGCTACAAATGGGCCCTCCGCACCGCCGGCAGCGTCGACTACAACATCACCGCCGAGCGCCAGATCTACGACACCTTCAACCGGAAGGTCGCCCAGTACCCGGACCTGGCCCTCGGCGCCCGCGTCACCCACGAGGGCTACTCCAACGCCGCCATGAAACAGGTCGATGCCGCCTCCACCGCCGTCTCGTACCGCGCCGAGAACCATCTGCTGTATATTGCGGTGGACATACCCGAGGGCTCCAATCTGACCGCCGCGGCCATGGAATGGGCCGATGAGACCCGCGCCCTGTGGAATCAGGGCCAGCCCGGCCGCCAGCCCTCCACCTATGTCAATTACGCCTTTGGCGATGAGCCGGTGGCCTCGATGTATGGCTATGAGCCGTGGCGGCTAGCCAGGTTGCGCGCGCTGAAGCAGAAGTATGACCCCCACAACCGGTTCCGCTTCTACAATCCTTTTGTTTAGACGAGGATGTTCAGTGAAGGAGTTGGGTGGGACGGGGCAAGGGTCAGATCATTTGATAGATACTCAGTAAGAAGATGTCTTTCTCAACTACTCACGATTTGGTGCCTTGTAGTAATAGTAAGAGTGATGCAGCCCTGAGAAGAGAATCCATTACGGTCTCGGACGGGTCAGGGGCGGCCGCCATGATCAAAGATCAACCCTAATGTAATTCCACGCAACGATAATCATGACCCATGAATCCCCAGGCAACGATACCAACAAAGCCAAGTAATTTGTGCGTAAACTGTACAATCATGTGGTGCAGTCCAGGAAGCAAGAGCGGCTCCCTCAACTAAGAACCATGGCGAAGCATGGCGCCCCAGTTCGAGCTCAGCGGCAAATCCTCCAGACAACCCCCCCCCCACCCCCCCACCCCCCCACATGGCGCCGCTGCAGCCCTGAGTCCAATCGAGAAAATGGGCAACTTTCCGCGATACTATAAAAATCTAAACATACCGGGATTTCAAAGCATTAGACCTTTGTTCAGGTTCCAGTGCTTGCCACAACCGACTGTAGCCTACCAGGCGAGAACATAAATGGGCGAAATGCCCGTCTAGATCTGGTCTTGACCTTTTGTCTCCTTCCAACCAGTTCATTCTGTCTCGAACCAAGCTGCTCCTAAATATGCCGTCATACCTTGTCACCGGAGCCTCTCGAGGCATTGGAGTGAGAACGTCCTAGCCGGTGGTCCATAGAATGCGTACTAAAACATTTGAAAGTGGGAACTCTTCCGCCAGCTGGCGAGCAATGCCGACAACACCGTCATCGGTCTGGTGCGCAACAAGGCGGAGACCGAGAAGAAAGTCACCGACGAGTTTCCGGCCGGCGGGGACCGTCTCCATATCATCCAAGGGGATATTACGGACTATGCCTCCCTTCAGGTGAAATATCTTCCTTGATCCTCTCCCATGACTCCCTGGCTCGTGAACTGACACCCGTGCTTCCTTACTAGGCCGCGGCCACCGAAACCGCCCAAATCACCGGCGGAGGGCTCGACTACCTCATCGCCAACGCCGGCGTCGTCTCGCACTTTGACGCCTACGACCCGATCGGAGTCCTGTATGTCCACAACTCTCCATCTCCCTTTTGTTGCCGCCCAAAAATAGAAGGATGGAACTGACAAAGGGCACCCCGCGCTGCAGAGGCCAGAACCCCACCGCGCTCGAGGAAGAGCTCACGCACCTATTCAAAGTCAACGTGGTCGGCAACATCCACCTCTTCAACGTCTTCATCCCGCTCATCCAGCGCGGCACGGCCAAGAAGGTCATCGCCATCTCCAGCGGCCAGGCGGCCCTGGACATGATCCCCAAGCTCAAGATCGAGGTCGCCTCGCTGTACGCCATCAGCAAGGCGGCGCTCAACACCGCCGTTGCCAAGTTCGGCGTGCAGTACGCCAAGGAGGGCATTTTGTTTCTGAGTGTCTGTCCCGGGATGGTGGATACGGGGCATTATGTTGATGGTAAGCCCTTCTGATCGCTTGCGTTCCGTCGGAATATTTGCGCTGCTGCTTGGGACATCTTGGCTAATGATGTGTTGTGATGGTTCAAATAGCGACCCCGGAACAGATGCAAGGGCTGATGGCCATGCTGGGCTCCTTTGTCGAGTATGCCCCGCATTTCAAGGGGCCGGCTACCACCGAGGCGGCGGTTAAGGATGTGCTCGCCGTGGTGGAGAAGGCTAGCGTCGAGAAGGGGGACGCCGGGGCTTTTGTGTCGCATTATGGAAATCAGCAGTGGCTGTAGGTGGGTTGCTGTGTGTACGATTGAGAACTCGCGCGATCATCCCACTCGGTTAAGACGCCAGCTTTCCTTTGCTCTTATCTCCATCGGTTGGTCGGAGAGGCAATGCGATATATATTAGTTCTTGTCGCTTTACAACGGATGAAATCGAAGCACGCGATGGCGATTTGCTAGAGGTATAAGAGAACTTGTCGAGTACGTTGTGTAGGAAGAGATTAGCTGTCAAGAATGTCCTGGGTAGGATGCATACTGTTTATATTTAAGGTAGAGGAGAATTTCTCTGGTTATAGGATGAGTGATTGGCTTGTGTTGATTAAAACCAGGTACAACAGAAAGCGTAGCGGTGTTTACATATCTTTATATATATCTTGTGACTGAGAACCAAGACAAACCGACAGTCCTTACTTTGGTGATTTCCCCATAAAAGCGGCGGCACCTCGATCGGATATGCAAACGGGCGTCCGACGCAACAATACAGTTCACTAATACACTATTGTGACAAGTCTTCATGCAGAAGGATTACTGTCGTCAGATCTTGCTGATCTGAGCGCAGGGGCTTCTTTTACTTATAGGCTCTATGTGGCTTACAGTTCATAGATGCAGTACTCATGCCTGGTATCGGTACGGAAATTAGCATAGACAAAAGAGTTTCCTCCGCCATCTTCCGTTATGTCACATTGTCTATACTATCTTCACCTTCACGGGTGCTGCCACAGGAATCAAGATGTTGGACGTTTCGCCAATTCCTATGGATTACGTACTGTACGTGACTTGGTTACCTTGTTATTAGTAAATTAAGGTGAGGTGGATTAGTGCTTATGGCAGCAATCAAAGAGCCTCGAACCTCAACACTCCCCCGCTCCGCCTCCTCCTCCTCCTCCTCCTCCTCCTTTTTCTTCTTCTTCTCCTCATCATCACCAACATCCGCATCGTCCTGTTACTGTCTATCAGTTTTGCCACGGTCGCTTGTTCCTTTTTTACCTCCAATTGAGAGTCAATAAGATGAGTCGAAGCTGCGGGACGTGCCGTGGTACAGTATACACCACTACACTACTGTCTACACTTCCCCGCGAATGAATGTTAACTGCTAACTCGGTCACAATTCACCCACCCTAGATCGGCGAATATCTTGCGATCGGACCACCCCTATCTGCCTCCAATGCGCCCATTCCAATCGAGTCTGCCAAGGATATGGCATCCGTCTGTCCTGGCCAAAACCGAAGGATCGAAGACGAGCTATGGTGGGCAAGCCGTCATTGAAGAGTGAGGGTACTTTGCAGCCCTTAGCCCACGTCCGTTTGGTCAACTTTTCCACCTTCGATATGAACCTACACGACCATCTGACTGGCTCGAATTCATGCCGTAAGACCTGCTCACTCTATCCCAGCCAGCTCGGCGAGGAATGCAAGCTAAGTGGGGGAAAGACTCCGCACAGCTGACCCTACGGTCACCGATGCCTTTCAACCCGAGCCACTTGGACATTGCGGAGAAGGACCTGCTACAATACTGTAGGTGACGGTCTACCTACATCCCTGTGCGATGCGCGCCAGGCTTGAGGAACCAATAACCAATACAACCGCAGTTCGTTGTATCGCCTCCCGCTCCCTGACAACTTTCACGCATGACCCGGTGGATTTGGGGAATATCATTATGCATTTGACCCTGCTCAACGACTCCCCCTCGGCCGCCGCAGTGCTACGTTCTCTGCTCGCCCTGTCGTCCGTACATCGCGATGGGCTGCAGTCGCAGGCGGCAGGTCTGAAGATATCTGCTCTCAAAGCGCTCATCGCCGCTCCCAAGCATGACATCACTGCGATCGAAGCGGCTCAACATGTTGCCGCCGGGATGCTATTGTGTTCCTTCGAGGTCTGTATTTTTAAGTCTGATGGCTAGGCCCACGGGGTCACGGAACGGATGCTTATTTGACGTCATCACCTAGATCCACCGGGCCTCCTGCACTTCCGACCAATGGATGACCTACCTCATAGGGGCGAAGCGCATCATTAAAGCCTCCTCTCTTGAGTCATCGGGCGAATTCGGACCTCTGATAGACTGGGTTCACTACCACGATGTTCTCTCGCGATTCAGTAATATTCACTGGCGTCCGAAAATCGTGCATGTAGACTCTCCTTCATCGGAATCCAGCACAGAGGTGCGTGAAGATGTACTTCGCCTTCTCTGTATTCCATGGAAATACTAACGCAGATAAGACCTTATCCCCGTCTCCTGGTTTGCCGTCTGTGCACAACACCGCGCTGGCACTGCTTTCCGACATATGCGATGCGGTGTCGACCCTTCTTCCCGATAACATGCTCACCGATGACCGGGATGATCATCAAGCGTTCCTGAAGACCCTCGCATTCCGCATCCGGAATATATCCTCTGCGGAGATCCCTCCTAGTAACAGCCGTAGTCGAACCATGACTGCACTATTTCAGTGTGCCATGCTCGTCTATCTCAATCGCGCGTCGATGGATCTTCTCGAGCCAGCGGCGGAAACTGAGCGCCGGATCCAGAACGCCTTTGCCACGTTTACCCAGCTCGATGCGTGCGAGCGACAATTTCCGCTCTTTATTCTGGGTTGCGAAGCACGAACTGATCATGAGCGGTCAATCGTCCTGGATTTGATCACAAGGACGGAGGCACACGCTTCATCCCGGTCTCTGTATCTGGTCCGGAAAATGATCGAGGCGATCTGGATCCAGGACGACCTCGCTAAGGGGGAGATAAACTATACGAATAAATTGACCGCTATCATCAGCTGTTGTGCGATTCTGCCTACATTTGTCTAGACTAGATTTCTCTTCTGCTTCATGAGTTTTATTGACAGGAATAGATCGAGGGGCTACAGGTCTCACTGATCTCTACCCATGATGAAGGCTTCAGGCTGGGTGGGAACGGGACGAGGCAAGATGAGCATGTATTGAAATAGAGCTACTGCTTATTGCAAAGTTATTCATCGTTTGTTATACATTTTACTCCAACTATAAACAACAAAGCCAGAGAACAATCAGACCCCTAAGGCACCTCAAGGGTGGATGCCCGACAGGCCGCCCAGGAGCCCGTCAATTTCCTATTGAATCAACTATACTAAGAAATGCGAGCCATATTGTGTGCTGTATGCACCCTGTAATGCCTAACTGACAGACTTTATCAACGTAACTAAATTTTGTTTGATACCGCCAATGACTTGTAGATATACCGTAAGTTTAGTCATATGATTAGTATTCTATACTATATACTTAGCAATCTGTATTGTTACCGGACTTGGTCTAGGCTCTCATTTAAGGTGCTTCGAAGTATATTTGGATTATCCGAGCATTCTAATAATACCTTCCTCACCATTAATTCTTAGTCAATGTTGATATAAAGAACCATCCTATAGTCCGGTTGAAAACTTCGCGCATGTGGGCGATACACGAGCTCTTTTTCCGTACACAAACCGCAGGTTGGTGTATATGCCTTTCTACTGCAGGCTAAGCGGTGGGAGCGATGTCAAAGTGGTTGTCATTGCTTAGCGATGGGGGCACCTGTTCTGCCCACCTGACGGGTTGGACAGTATGAGCAATAGTAATGGCACCGGAGTACTTCTCTTCAAAGCTACGAACTAGGTAATGTACAAATTGATTTGTGTATTTGATTTGAGTAAGTACTTTGCATCAGTTCGTTGAACAAAGTCGGAGTGGGAAACCCACACGCTTTTACAACCTTTTGAAACTGTACTGTATACTAAGGTACTCCAGAGATCATCAGACTCTATCCTGTTATTGGCTCAGTGGAAGAGCGCAAGTGTCTCGGCTGGGCTTGCATCGAGTGCTGTTGTATGCTTTGCTAAGCACCAATCTGTCCCGGCCGCTGGCATACTGAAATACCACAACCCGAGACCCTTGAGGCACGGAGAGCTGTCCAAGCCCGCTGTTAATCCATGGAACTGACGTCCAGGCATCTCGCTCGATGGCCTGGTATCCTCAGCCCATAAGTTATGAGTCTTAGAAACTTTGAAATGTACGACACCCCTACAGACCCTTTCTCTTTAAGCACTGATGCATTCACGGTCTGCAAATCACTTCAAAGTTCCGATGCTTCCTCCATATATGAAGTGATGCTAAACAACAATCACAAAAAATGATGTTGATTGAAAGTGGTAAGTATTCGACTCCACGGCTAGAAGGTAAATCCTGACTCGGTTACCAGTACTATGATAATGGCGGCCCTGGCTATTGGAAGAAGGGCCGCGACCTGAACAGTTTCCGGTGTGACTTGAAGGCTTATAGAACCTGCAACTCCATGGAGTGTGTCAAGACGGTGTGGGTCCATATTTTTATGGTTATCTCGACGAACTGGATCCCGCACTTTATCGGTTCCATCTGAAGTATTCCGAAAATAACGCTTACAAGCCCAAGGCAATCTTGCTCGAATGTCTGCCTAGTACAGAAGGACTCAATTGCCCGAATGATTCCGGAGCGGTTTCCAACGATATTCGTAAGGCTCATGTTCTTCATCATGATGTATATCCCAAGAATATCCTCCGGAGTTTTCCGAGCGCGTTTGTCTGGGTCGATTTTGATGTTGCTATAAGTTAGGTATATGGATGCTCAGAAACTATAGCTACCCAGGCGGGAATGTCCCGCGAGTTTGAGACCGACCTCGCGCGAAGGTTTGGAGATCTTTTGGGATGTTGTATGACGCGGAATCCTGATGTTGCGAGAGACTTAACGCAAGATAGAGAGAGAGGATCAACCGTAAACGTCTTCAGCCAAACACCAAATACTATTGACTTGACGTATGCAGACCAACCTGATCCAATCGGCCTGACTGGTTAGTTTAGGCAAAGAGTACGTCAGTATGAATGTTCTCACTGAAATACCGATCACCCACAACGTGCTTGACTACCTCTGCTGACTTTCTAGCCTGAGCCGGTTTCCTCCACGCCATGCCGTTGGACAACTACCTGCGCAGTAGAAATGTGGGTGGCTGTGTTTGGTGGAAGGCGGTCAGGGGTGGCCGGGTTCTACGTGGCCACCTCTACACTAACATACGCCGTCGTGTGGAAGGAGACAGCTTTCCATCATCTGGTACTTCCAAGTTATAATCTTGTCTCCCTTTTCAGGGGGATAGTAGAACTGTTGCATCTTTTTATCTAGATCCGAAGCTCAATATGGAGAAATATCTTCGGCCGCACTAACTGTACCTGGTTAGTGCCGGTGTCTTAGACTATGAGTAAGCGGATTTGAAACATCTTTCGGGTTGTGGCGTTCAGGAAAATATGAATGGTCCGGGCCAGACAGCTGCATTCTGAGCATAATTTGAAGCTCTCATGCATTCCCTGAGACTCCGGTGTGCATAATTTTATCCTCCGGTGGCCGGGAGAATAAAGCCAAGCGCTTATGTTGAGAACGTTTGGCGTGGACGCGATGGGGCTAGACTGTATCTCGCAAGGCGTCTGCGCCGGCGGCGGCACTGATCGAGTCCAGGGAGTAAGGTGCGCACAACCTGGGTATAAAGCGTATAAGCATAATCTTGGAATCAGAGGCCAGGATCTTCACGGTGGCTCAACTGCCGGGTCTCTTTCAGAACAAACTTCGAGGGACCAGAGTCAGCGGCATGTTGACCACGATCCAGGTGTGCCCGCTCCACCCTCCGGTGTCTGCTCGTGATGAGAGGTCAATGGCTGCCCCAAATAAACTTTTGCCTCAGAGTCGCATTCTCCACGATTCCCTGCCAAAGAATCTACTCTGGAGTACGTTCGAGATTGGCTGGCACGACTATCCCGCGGGCACGCGACCCAGCGACCGAGCCATTTGTGCTTGTGTTGTCCGACCGTCAGAAAGGCATAACCCGCTCAACAGCGATCATCCGGCATAGCCAGCTTCATCCACGGCCGTATTCGTATAGCAAGCATAGAGGGGGTGGAAACTGGCGAGGCTGGAACGGGGGAAGAGGAGGGAGTGGAACAGGGGTTCCGATGAATTTTAGTCCAATAAGACCAAGTAAGGATTCCCACTTGGCAACTGCGCCGACCGGGAGGGAGGCTAGTCCCAAGTAGTCCCAAGTAGTCCCAAGTAGTGCCAAACTCGCCGCCCTCAAACTCCTGCGCCCTCTTGAATCTTGAATAAGAGCAATCAGCCTCTCTCTTGACTTGTTGCTGCTGACGACGACCGCCCAGTCAGTCAGTCAGTTTCGGTCTTTGACCACCACCACCACCACCACCACCACCTCACCTTTTCTTCCTTTACTCGACCCCACCCTCTCCCCCTTATTCCTTTCTTCTCTCCCCTTCGATCTTTCATTGATCTTTCATTCAAGTCTCCGCCTTCATTCTTCTCTTTTCCGCGTGTTCGTCGTCATTTTGTGGTACTCGGCTCGCTTCATGCTCCCGACGTCCCTGCGCCCGTGAACACCAAGCGCCGTGTACTGTTTGTACTGTACATATTGTTGCACCAACAACATCATCGGTCGGCGTTGACGGTTTGAGCCCTGCATCTGTCCATTCGACTTCTGTATATACTTCTCTTTCGTTTCGATACACCAACGGAGACTAGCTGCAACAAGGGTCTTTCCTGCGAATAGGGGTAGAACCACGCGACACGCACCTTCTCGGGAGGAAACATTGTACAGGATCGACACACCGCATTGGAACGCCGATGCTAGGCGCTTGAGCCCCGAACTCGACAACGGTTTCCCTTCTTCCACTCCATCTTTTGTACCACACGGTCGCTGGGAGTCACCATGGCATCGAGCAACGAATCGACCTCGGTCGATCTGGGGAAGCCCCAGTTCGCTTCTCACTCATGGGTTGAGCCGATCGTAAGTGCTGCTTGGTTTACTGTATCACCTCGCGGAGTGGTCCTGACTCTTGACTCAGATAGTCGTCAGTATCATGCTTAGCTCGTTATATTTCAACCGTCGCCGGGACTTCAGCATCTTCGGCAAAAACAACAATCGGGATCTAGGGTCGTCGCATCCGTTATACCTGAAAGATGAAGAGGCGAATGATTCCCTGGACAATTTATCGGAGGGGGAGCTCAATGGACAATTCCAGTCGGGCCCGGGAGTCGACAACAACAACAACTATCCTCCCAAGCGTCGGAATTGCCTGTGGTTCACGGTCAAGACGCCCAACTCGTCTCGTTTCGCCCGCCACTTCCACAGCCGCATCCTGCAGAAGTTCCCTTTCCTGGTTGAGATGTTCTACTGGGTCATGAACTATCTCTTCTACTCCTGCACCAAGGCAGTGGCCCAGTCCCTGTCTCCCGCCGGTCGCGACGTCGTCCAACTTGCCCAGGACCATGCCGTCGGCGTTCTCAACCTGGAGCACAACTCGTTCTTCAGCATCTTCTTCCCCATCGAGGAGGCAGACTTCCAGGCGTTTTTTATTAACGGCCATCCGAACTGGATGACGTTCTTCAACCGCATCTACTCCCTTGTCCACATTCCTGGCACTGTCGCGTAGGTCTTCCTGGTGACAATCAATGAAAGCATTTGAAGACTAATGTGCTTTCTAGTTATCTCTCGTGGTGGTACTATGCTGCCCCCGACTTCGAGCGCTACGCCCTCGCTCGCCGCACGATGACCCTCGGCAACTTCATGGCCTTCATCATCTTCTGCTTCTGGCCCCTGATGCCGCCCCGCCTGCTGCCCGAATCCTTCGGGTTCCACGACACCGTCCGACAAGAGCATGCCGAGAGTGTCTGGGTCGGCGGCAAGATGGTCAACCAGCTGGCCGCCATGCCCAGCCTGCACTTCACCTACGCCTTCTGCATCGGCAACACCTTCTTCTACCACTCCGGGGTCTTGCACCGCCTGTTCGGCAAGCGGTCGTCCCGCATCACCCTGCGGGATATCTTCCTCGTCGTCCTGGGCTTTATTTACCCTATGCTCGTCCTGTCGGTCATCGTCGCCACCGCCAACCACTACTGGCTCGACGCAGTGGTCGCCACCTTCTCGGTGGTCTTCTCGTTCTTCTGCAACCGCATCTGGATGATCCTCCTGCCGTTGGAGGATATGTTGCTGTGGGTGCTTCGGCTGGAGAAGCCGATCCCCACGACGGGAAGCCGGCGCCGCGGCGGGCCGACCGACGATGAGAACGGCCGTGACGGTATCGAGTACCGTCCTCTATAATATATACGACCGATAGTCGGTCCGCCATCTCAGGCAATAAATCCGCGCAGTGAAAAATATATGCTCATTGACCAATAGAATTTAATCGTTTCTGACATGTTGACCTTGATTGTTGGTGTATGACCATTAGTTCCAAAGTAGACCGCTACCTGGTGAGATAGCCCCAAGATAAGTCCTGCTGGCATCATCACACCACACCATGTCAGAGTCCACCCACATGACATATCAGCTTCCGGCCCCAAGTGTGACACACCCCGTATCTCCGATTATCCTTAATCCCAGCAATTCAGCAGGGCATCGAATCAAGATGAAACTCAGCCAGGACATTAACCGACACCTACCCCGAACACTCAATAGCACTGGTAACCAAAGGAGATATCCTCACCCAGAATTTCTCGCTCCCGACTAAGTAGCCGTGTGTTGCGCATTCCAGACCAGTTTCCAATTCATCCGTAAGATTGATTGGGGCGGCGCATGGTGGCAGTCAGCCAGCCAGTGAGCCTCAGTGCCGTACTGTTTGTTACCTTCCTTAATCTCCACCACCGCCGGGCTCACAGCTTATCTATGGAGTACTCAAGACCATTGGGTGGGACGGGACCGGACACATCCCAATCGCAATCTCCTGTCTGAAAACCAATTTCAAATCTGCCGCAAAAAAAAAAAAAAAGCAAGCGAAGATTAGAGCATGTCATGAAAAGTTTTTTCTTCGTTGGTTCGTGAATTAAAAGTTTCGGGAATGGCGATGGTGATAATCCTAGTGGGATAAGTTAAGGGGATATTCTTTGATAAGGGATACGAGGTGTGTCAATCACCGAGTTTACGTAGACACATCTGCTGAGGGTCGTCTGTTTGGGACTACACGAGTCTCTACGATTCGCAGATAAAAAATTCATCATCAAAGTAGGTTGGTGTTCAATTTGGTCGGTCAGGTATCGAAAATGAGATTATGAAATTCAGACGCAGACGAATGGAAGCAGCGTGTCATGGTCATGGGTCAATGGTCCTAGCGCTGTGGTGGGGGGTTTCAAAAAAGGGAGATCGTTGGGTTGCCAGCCCTAAGGGGGAAAGAACAAAAAGTTGATCCGGGGTAGCGGTGGCTACGATCCAGACGAAAAGAGGGTTTCACGAACAGCACAAAAAGAAAAGGAAGAGAAGAAGGTAAGATCGACTTGGTCCATGCCAGGTAGATCATAAGTGATGGTGACAGTGGTCACAATCTACGAGTAATAAGGAGAAGGGGTGGGGGTTGGAGTTGGAGTTGGGGTTGGGGTTGGGGTTGTGGCTGGGAACGAGGAAGGGATGACACCGCCAGTCGCACTGGCGACGCCGACGCGGTTGGCACCGAGGGTGTTGGTGGGACAGGCGGTGCGCAGCCCCTGCGACAGCGAGGCCAGGCCGACGGGGCCGAGCCGGTCGATGGTGGACGGGGCGGGCACGGTGCCGACGTAGGCGTTGAAGTTGTAGAGGCCGCAGATGCAGGTGTCGACGATGTCCTTGAGGCTGGTGTCGCTCATGACATTCTGGCCGTTGCGCAGCAGGGCGAAGCGCTGCGGGCCGACGCCCATGGGCACAGTGAAGGCGCTGGCGCCGGCGGGCGCGCTGAAGCTGCGGCTGTTCCTGCCCGAGGCGACCTGCACCGTGGCGGGCGACTTGAGCAGCGCGACCACATACACCACGTCCTCCATCGTCTCCCAGCCGTTCGGCCGGCCGCGGAAGAAGTTGCCGCTCGAATTGTTCGGGCTGCCCTCCATCGTGGTGTCGGTGTTGTCGCAACTGACTCCCTTCGGCGTCGGTCGGTACCAATAGATCAGCTTCTCCTCGCTGATGTACGGATCCACCGTCTTAGCCCCCGCCTTATAGGCCGCAATGAAGGGCTTGGACATCTGCAGCCAGCCGTCGTGTGGCCTATCACGTTGCAACGCCGTTAGTGACCATCAAGGATCTGAAACAAGAATGTTAAAAAACAGGGACGAAAACTCACATGTCCATCACCCATTTAGAGGCGCCATCGTCGGTGTGGGGGGAAGACAAGGGACCAATGTAATGCGATTCCCCGTAGTCATTCCAGGTGATGATCTCGACAAATCGAGGGCCAAGAGTCAGGATCTCCCGCCAGCGGTTGAACCAGAGCAGATCGCCAGGGAACACCCAATTTTTGCTGTAGGGCACTTCGCCGCCAAAGTGCGTGAAGAACCAACCAGATGCCGCTGCCAATCATGAAAATTAGTTTTTTTTGAGTCATGCTTAGTCTCCCTTGTTCCATTTTGTTTTCAGCTGAGGTGGATTAGGGGCCCAACTTACGAGCGATATACCCCTTCCCTCCAAGCGCCTTGGTGTATGATTGGTCTCCCTCGGTGACCGAGACATTGCGGCCGGCGCTTGGGGCCTTGTTGTCGCCATTGTTGTCCCACGCCATCCAGTTAAGCGCCCCATCGATCTTGCTGAAATCCCCCTGGCCCGGGTGGAAATTCGGCGCAAAGTACACATCCATCCCCGACGCGGCCTTCATCTGCTGGATGTCCAAGCCATCGCCCGCAAACGAGGACACAAATACCTTGCCGTCCACCTTCAACTGCGCCGGCCGGTTCCCGTACTGCGCGACCTTCTGCCCGACCGTCGCGGCCTGCCCGGTGCTGTACCAGTTGAAGTCGAAGGAGATGAAGACCTTCATGTCGTTGCGGGCGGCGGACTCGTATGCGAAGTTCAGCTGCGTGTCGGTGTAAGGGTCCACCCCGATGTTTAGCGCAAAGGCGTCAATCCCCAGCGCCTTTGCGCGTTTCATGTCGTCGTCATAATCAGCAGCACTATTCCGATTGCTGGTGATGCCGATCTGTCTCCATTGGTCAGTACTCAGATCCAATTTTCCAACCCCTTCGCAGAAGTGTTTCACCCACCATGAAGTGACAGAAAACGAGTTTGTCGTTCGCGGCGAGGGTCGAGTTGACATTGATGGGGGCACTGCTCGCCAGGGTAGCCAGCCCGGCAAGAGCATAGAGTGGTAGCTTCCAGAGCTTCATCTTGTATAGATTGTGCAAGTAGAGTTGGAGATAAGGAATGAATAGAACTGAAAATGCAATATACACAGACTGTAGTAGTAGTGATGTAAAGGAATGTGAGCAGAGGATCAACCCCTTATACGGTCAAGAAAAGAAAGAACTGCAGAAGGAAGAAAGGAGAGTAGAGAAACGAAGAAGACGAGGTGAGGTGAAGAAGGGAAGAACAAGAGCGCAAGCAGTATTTATCGAGGGTTGTCCCTGGAGGCAGTGGGCTGCATAGCCCGATTGAACCCTGAGTTTCAGGAACCGGCGGGTGGGAATCCTTCAAAGCCCCAACAAAGAATGCTCCAATCGAAAGATGAAATTCTCCTGTCTGATGTCAGACGTGATGCTTTGATGATTTGCGCTTGTTCTAATCCACGAAATTGAGCTCCACCGCGCTCATTTTATAGTGTCAGCGGTGATCATGGTCCGGCGAATAAAACCAGGGGCCGCCCCTCAAGAGATAGCATCATGGGGCCAAAAGAGCTCTCTGAACGGCGTTGATCCTGTGAGACAACGAGTAACAGAAGCCATTGCACTGAATAGCACCAAGCAGTCCTTGTCATTTGCGCTGGAACGGTCGCATATTCTCGCACCGAGAAGAGAGGATGGACCCTGGGACGGGGACGAACCCTGATCGATTCCTAAAAGGGTAATTCTGGGGCTCGCGATGCTACAGAAGCATCGCAGTCAACCAGTCTGTTACCTTAAGTGTGATCAATGGAGGGCATCTGATTTGAGTTTCGAGGATCGTCCAGCGTTCAGCGTTTACTAGACAGATCAAACGGACGGGCAAGAGCAAGAGCCATCTCGTAGACATCGAGGACGGCCCAGAAGAGGACGGTGAAGTGCTTTGCTTCCCCAGATGAGATAACACAAAACTAACGGTGATAAAACTTGAGCTTGTGCCACCAGGATTAAAGGCGAGTTGGCGGGTCTGATTGGTGCTGACATTTTCCGACGTGATACAGACGGATGATCTTAATACTTCGAAACAAGCCAGCTGCGGGAAGCCAGTCACTCCGTCCAACGCTCTTCATAAGCCTGAGCGCGCGAGCGCTCTGGCGGGTGCTTGGTTCAATGTGTGCGCGTTTGCAGCCCAATGCAACCCAGCGAGCACTGCATATATGCACGAAGAGCTGTGGGTTCTGACATGCTTTTTCTTGCATCCCCGGCATGACATATGCGAGAGCTGCGGGGTAACATGGCTGGCATATCAGCCACGCGATGCCATCACCAGACAATCGGAACATATGCCAATCCGTTTGCCACTGATTTGGGAGGTTGTGGACGCCGTCCGCTTTGCGTGCGATGCTACCGGGTTGAGGCTTTTGTGGTGTATCTCGATGTAAACGGGCTGACCTGCAGGGGGAGGAGGGGGTTGAGATGGGCTTACCCTAATCCCAAGCCGCAAGGCGTGTGTTACAAGGCACCATGTGACTACATAGTCGTTTGCTTCAACTTCCATGACTGGATATGCTCTGCAGTCTGTCCTTGAGCATCAAGAGACCTGTTGAACATGAATCCATGACGGACGTTGGATATAACCCTCCGAGGTTCAACGTCTTTCGCTTAGCATGGACTGAAAGGCTTTAATTCACTCAGGGTGCAACCTTAGCGACAACATTGGCACGAGAAGCCAATTGCCTAAGACAGGTATGCAAGTTCAACAGGATATGAGGTAATGAAAATGATCAAAAAGGATTTCTGCATACTAGAGGAACGATATTTGCGAAAGAGTCGCTGTGTGAGAGCGGTAGCATCATTCGGTGTAGTTTTGCTGGTGGGCTGCCATCACTCATCACCGATTGCATCTCGCAGGTCATCGAATTTCTGTCGGGGAGATGGGGTCTAAAGGAGAGGGAACAAAGAGAATCACAGAAATAAAAAGTCATTGCCAGGGGCTCCTGGCCAATACATGAAACCATTGATGTTATATGTTTCAAGTTTGACAACGACATT